AAATGCATTACCATTTCTACGGAATAAGTCGCCACATGTTCCAACCCCCAAACTGGAGGGCCAGGAGACTGTTCGTCAGACCTCTAACCATTGACCAACCTGGTGTGAGAGACTCTGTGAGTGTCGCGAGACACTCTCCAGTATAGCTCAATGGATCGCTGAGGTGTGCAAACCGTCACACCCCGGTAAGGTCCAGTCTCTTCGTGACGGAGACCACTCGACAGAACCACTCGACTCTTGCAACAATTTAATCGTCTAATAAAAAAGAAATTGACCATATTCTCCTACTCACGATTTTCGATGCTGGTACTCCAGACGCCGCGAAACAATGGACTCACTGGTTCCGTACCCTCAAAGCTTGCATTAAATCAATCATGCCTGAAGGTCCATATAAATTGGAAACTCTCGCACGTCGCGTCGATGTACCCTCTGCAACGCTAATTTGTTACATGGTATGTCCATTTACATTCAGTCAAATGACAGTTCTAAGTTCATGCCAACTGAACTCAAACGGTTTTTGTTCGAACAAGGCGTTCCCACTAGTCAACGAACTGCCTATAATTCATAATATAATGGTCAAGTGGAGTGACTTAATGGTACCCTTTGGAAGACCATCTACCTAGCTCTAAAATCACGAAAATTGTGTGCCACACATTGAGAGGTTGTCCTTCTTGATGTTCTCTATTGTATCAGATCCTTGTTACGCACTAGTATTAAATATGATTTACACGAACGTTTCCTACCATTCATACACCGATTAGCTAGCGGTGTCTCCTTGCCTACCTGGCTTACTGTCCCTGAACCAATCCTTTTGAAACGCAACGATCGAGTCTCTAAATATGACCCTGTGGTAGAGGTGGTGGAGCTCAACTTTTGTAATCCACAGTACGCCCACACAGTTCATGCAGATGGCAAACGCGAAACCGTATCTCTACGCCGCTTGGCTCCCGGAAGCAATAGCAGGACATCCAATCCTTTCGATTCAGAACTGGAACCAGCGCATGTCACCGTACAAAAGGAACCTCACCCAACACCATCAACCTACCGCGATTCATCAGAAACTAGAATCTTGCTTATTAACGATGCCTCGTTCATCCCATTCTAATGCAGACCAGGGAATTCACTTGGATACTTTTATACGACAACAGTGCACTCAACCATATAAAGCTGCAACCATATAAGCGTGAACGACTCCACGTAACCACCACCGCAGTTTTTACAAACTGTCGTTCACCGCAAAAGTACACACTTACTCCAAGGTGGGGTGAATGTCATGAGTATCTAAGTTTTGGGTTCCATACATCATTAACTGTGAATTTTCACTCTATATTTTCAGCTCATGTACTGTCGTTATCAGACGATCATAGCGCGCATTACGCCATTCTATTCTGTCCTCCTTCTAATCTCGACCTGGAACCATTAAACCTCCATCTAAAAACACGGAGGGAAATGTGCTGCGAATCAACTTTTTCTTGAGATAAGAGTCCTCCATAGAAACGAAATCCCCTAACAATCGAGCAGGAAGTAGTCAAGCAAGAACAAGACAGCCCAAGTTCACGTCATATCGCTTAGAAGCAAAATGGACCGGGTTCTTCCGACACGATAAGTGATACAAACCTTGCATTTGAAGCACCTCACTACATATCCAATATGTGAAGCCGCAGTGAGGTACCCTCGGAGATGGCCTCTGCATAGAATCGTGCGTCCTAGCAAAGCAGAACGTAGCAACTAAAGGATCGTGAATGCATGGTTCAAACCAAGACACATTTCAGAGAACTATTGAGTGAAGTCTCGTGCACTCGGACCAAGAAATTTCATGTAGGAAAATGCCCTCCCAAAAAAACTAGAGAAGATACAGTGTGGGTTATACAACTTGATGAAGGTCAAAAATTTTTGCGTATCTCGATGACGCTGATGGGATCTGACACTTCATTTACTTAGTGGTCCCGTCCGTTAGTAAAATTCAGACAAATTCTGATGGGAAAATTCCAATACTCGTGTTAAATTCTGACCTTCTTTGTAGGCAAAGTGCGCGGTCGGGCAATAACTAGAAATCAAAAACAGTTGAGACGTTCCAAATGATGTCTCTTGAAAAGGGGTGTGTGATTGTTCCTGAGGTTTTCGCCTCCCTAAATTCTAAGACGCAAACAAACTGTGACATCAAAAAAATCAGATGGGCTTATCGTACCAGAGACATAAAACGTCACGGACTGTCAACAACAGATGAACTTACCACACAGTTTAGATACAGACGTAGGAGGTGGTGTTTTCCACAGAGGTCANAAGTCTGGAAGAGCGGAAATGATGAATTATTCCTAAGACATAGGTCTCGATGCAGTGCTAAAAATACTTCGGGTGATAATAACTGTCAAGCGTCGACACAGGGGTACAATATGGGGACTTACCCAAGAAGCTCACAAGTGCCACACTTTTAGACATAAGCTCCTTGAAGGACATATCATAAAGTTTGGTGCCTGGCTGTACATTGTAGACGAAAGCCTCGGACTGAGCACAAAAAGCAGAAATGAATTTTGGTAGAAAAACAGAACGCGTGCAAATAGAACAAAAGACGGCTCTCGAAACAGAGACACACTCGACGAACCTTGTCCATCACGCCTTCTTTGATCTCTTCAAGTCGCTGCGAGCAAATCTTGCGTAAGTAATCTAAGCTTCCGAGTTGAGCCTTGATGGCCAAATCTAGTGAAACAAGGAAACAAGGAAGTCGCTGGCGTAGTTTCGTCTAATAGGTCAATTCGTGACAGAACACCATGAAAAAATCCTACGATGAAATCAGCGACACTATGTGATTCTCAAACTTGGAGCCTAGTACCTTCCTGTCATGTAATTGAAGTAAAACGGAGAATAATCCTTCGAGACTCAAGAAAATGCAAGGTGCAAGTGTTCAGCAAAAATGGAGTGAGAGAGATTGGTTTTAGTAATGTCTTTGTTTAGTGCAGACAGTAGATATCACAGAAAAAGCGATGGGTCCTGTTACATCTACATCAGCAGCATAATGAGGTACATAGGAGGTAGCTCTCACAATTACAACCACCAATGAAAGATGATCAGACGGAAGAGTGGATATACATTACAAGAATTCGGTGCTATTATCGAGGTTCTCAAAAAAAACTGACTCGAACGCAGTCCCACGAAGCTAGGACCAGATTTTCGAACGGATACCGCATCGCTAAGTGATAGACTGTCGCCGCACCAATGCAGCGCTCTGAAGACAGACTGTCAGGTGTAAACTAGCCATGCCTGAAGTCGATGAAGGTTGTCTCGTGCTGTGACGTCGTGCCCTGAGTGACAATCAAGTGAACGGAAATATTTTACACGAGTTTTGTGTGCGTATATTCACAGATTAAGATTCTGAAGTCTGCGTTAGCAACAGAAGGAACGGAAACAGGCGAGTGTATCGATTGACCCAGAACGGATCCACAGAATTGTTCTCGATTTGGGGATGCCCATAGAGCCTCACAAACGCAAAAGGAAAGAAACATTCCCCAAAGGAGCCTTCGTCATGGCACAAGCCATCAACATCGTCAAAAAGCAACATCAGTGTTGATGCTTCACAATCACAACAATTATAGGTAAAGCCTCAAACTGAAAAAGGAAAAAAGTGCGTAAGGGGCGGGCCTGGTACTAACTTACTCCAGGCATTCTGAGCTGCCTGCATCTTCAAACGTTCAATCAGACACCTTTGAAAAAACTGGGGGCATAACCACAATCGCCTAGCCACGATTTCTGGTAATTAATCCGGCCAAACACAATCCGCCGTTTCACACTATCTGCGAACGGCCATAAACTGCGTTTATTGTTAGGGCACACAATCTCAGAGTAGCACCTAGTCAATTGAGACGGATTTTACCATGCTACGTGCGGTATACTACATCCTCCCTCTAACTGGCCGTTTTTAGATTCACTGCGTCTTTTTATTATTTTCAGATATTCTTTCTCATAGACCTTGAAGAAAGATTTTCACATTTCTTCAGGTTTACGTAATGCAGGTGAGCTGTTTCTGTTCCAAGCAAGTAAATCCAAAGGAGGCCCATTTCAAAAATCACTGCTTGACTAAAGGAGTAATACTGGAGATTAATGTACGGGGCTCACCTGCGACGTGTACTGGGATGGTAATGCTTAGTATCATACTACATGAAGCAACCCAAGTGTCGAAACCAGTCGTTCGCGGCAAATCTCTCGGTTGTTTTTCCTAGGTATTGTCTCAAATAGTTTACTCTACTGAAATATTCCACCATCCATTAATCCGACAAGTGACTATAGGTCGCACCAAACTGTCCATGTTCTTAAATTTTGCCTGGCAGTTACTGCAATCTCAATCCGATGCACTGACGCCATTCTGCACACGCCATGGCACTGATTCGTTGCAGGACAAACGGTAACGAGCCCGGGGCAGTCACCGACAATTCATACTACAGATGTGTGGTCTCAAGAGTTTGCTGCAAGATACATGAAGGTGGCCACGAGCAGCTTATGGAGTGAGAAAGGCTGTATGAACTGTTTGGTGCTCACATTTCAGAGCTCAGGGTTACCTAGCCGGGTAGACTTGACGGTATACTAACGAAAATGAGTGTGGCTAGTCGCCCGCCTTATAACAGATTTCCAGAATAGACGTTACAAGCTATGCGAGTGCACCTTAAAGATCCCACACACAGTTTGACCCACGAATTCTGCTAATCTCTTAAGTAGAGCTCAGTGCTATAGTTAAGAGTCAAGTCGTCCACTTGTATTTGAAAGTACCGGCAGCATGTTAGGTTATGGAAAAGGGAACGAACATGACGTCTACGAAGATGCCAGAAATCCCAAATAAGGTGGAAGGAAGATTAACCTGACTAAACACGGCTCGAACGAATGCATATCAGAGGCGCTGAACATACCGTCATCCCCACCAGTGTCGCGGCCACGAAGCATTTCCGTAAACCCATTGGTTTGTTGAACGACGACTTCCAGTTCATCAGGACTATCGGACATTTTCAGCGCTTGGATGAAGTACTCGCTTGTGAAGGCATTATCTTTGGTCTTGAATGCAAATAAATGTAAAAACTGGTTCAACTTAAGTCGGTAAGATGGTCGAAAATGGTTGAAACAGTCGGCCGATAAAGATAATACGGTTCAGGAATAATTACGGAACGTCAACCGAATTCGACTAATTGTAGATCATTGGATACATTTCCCATCGACAGGCCTATGTGAACAGACGACTACTGTTCCCCGATGGAATTACTCTTTTCCAACCAGTCCCAGTTCTCCGGAGCACGAGTCACCCAGGATTCGTACGGGATCACACATAACATAGAAATTAAAATTCCGTATGAAAAAACCGGTTTAAAAAACGTATTGAAACACTAAAAAACAAACTTTAAAAAGGTAGTCGATTAAATCTGAGATAGGGTTACTGCAATCAGTTCTCCTAACTGAAGGGTTGCTGTTGTTGATCCCGGAGATGGTGATGTTGGGAAGGAGCTAAGAGGCACAAAAACAGATATAGAACATTGAGTATCACTCAAGAACAAGAGAACACGGTTTTCGGAAGATGGAATTGAGTTGTCGCAGCACCGCCCATAGCTCGTGGCTGACAAACAAAGCATATACGCAACCGATGCGGAATACTTGACTGGCACAAAGACGATGACCGAACAACAGGCTAGATAACGTGAGCATGACTACAGACTCAGTCGGTATAATAATGTTATATTCACCTGAGGTGCTTTCGAAGTCATGAACAAAAGATGCTTCGTTGGCTGGCCATTTTTAATTGCCAGAGTGCAAACTCGGTGGATGTTCGTCCACTTTTTCAACGTTGACTGAAGTACCCCTCGAAACGATTGAAGTTTCATTCACAACATCCACAGCCGATCCTTGGCCACCGAAGTGCGATTTCAGAGTAACATACGTTCGTTATCGAGGAGAAGGTTTCACAGCCCAGGGCTACATCGGCTCAGTGGTTAGAGCGAGAATTTATTGTCCGGAAGGTCCGTGGCCTGAACCCGACCCCTGCATCTCGACTTCCCCTGTCTAGGCTTGGGTAACCTGCAGTATCCCAGCCCTCGTGATTCCTTCGGGTAGCATGGTAGCTAGGCACAGAAGGGGCGTTACAGCTAAACAATCCTTTTTACATCGGTCACTTACCAACCTGCTTCGGACAGAAGGTTGGAGTGAAAGTGAACATTGTGATAGGAACGTTTCAAGCTTTCAGCAAAAGCGACCTGAAAGTCACATAAGCCGATTTGTTGACTACTTGCACTTTCTAAGCGTCGTCACACGTTCACAATAAGGGATGAAAACTTTAGGACACCGGAAGGACGATAATAAATCATGCGAATAAAAAATGGGATTCGGAAAATCTAATGACACTCGTGTTGTGGTCGCTTCCTAGTATAAATTCCTTATGGTAATAGCTTCGAACGCTAATTCATGCGGATCGAAAAGCTGCGCACCGTAAATAAACTATCAAACAATCAGCCAAAAAGGGGCTTCGTTTCAGAGGGGCTAAGTAAACAATGGTTAGATTTTAACTGGGCAACTGGACAAAGGATGTTCAGCTAGGCCTGGTTGGCGTTTCGCGTTTTGAGGGGGGATCATCAATAATAGCCACTCACTGTCCTGAATATTTGCAGGCACACAGACCTCTACAACAGCCAAAGGTGAACCAAATTTGAGCACCTTAATCATAGTCCCGGCTTCTGGTGAATCAGCTCTACTTGCACAACAGTTATGGACATAAAACATACGATTGACATGGGATGTACGAAAAGCCGTACATTCAAGTGAGGTCTGAGTCGATTGGGCAAGGGGATGATGAATGTGACTGAAGTAGAAGAAGCATTCAAAGTCAGATAACTATAATGGGGCCAAACTCAGAAATAAACAGAGTCAACAACTTACAAACCAAGCTACTGATCGATTCACAAAATCCGGATCTGACAAGAGGTTGATAGTCGGCACAAGCACTGTAGACACCAACAACTCCTGGGGGAGATGCAGTTAACGTGCGAGCACAAATTCTGAATTACTCGAGCAATATAACGAATTGCGGGGACGCGATACTCCTCATTTGGTAGGATGAAAAATAAAAGTGTCTCACTGATACGGCGGAGATACTCTGCGAGGCTTGGTTGCAGAAACTAACACATGTTACTTTTTTCCTGTTCGCCCGAGGTGCATATGTTTTCTCTGCATATGGTTTTCTCGGTTTCCGTCTCGCAGTCAAAAAACAGTTGCAATTGATCTATATAATGTTAGATAAAAATGGAGTGCGACAAAAGAAATAGAACCTTTGTCGCCCATTAATTTCTGCTGTTCAAGCATAGTACGGTAAAGTCGAACATGAGAGGCCAGATCATTAAACAGTGTTTCTGTCAAAAATGGAATCCAATTGACCTGAGATATCCTAACACAAGTCAGCTGTTAGGGAACAAACGCCGGGAAAAAACTACCTTTTAACCAAGTTGGCGGTGATCTGCTGTAACAGTCGGTGTAGCTCGGTCGGGAAAACTGTGTCCGGAGTAAGTGGCGCGTACCACGAATAGATGTAGTCACGAAGGATATAAGATATAATCTACCTCTGGTAAGTGAAAGGAAGGGAGCCGACACGCACCTGGTTGCAGACGACATCCAGTGCTAGCGAGCTGGATATTTTAGTATTTGCTTTGGCTACTCCTTCCGCATCCATAATAGCGGTCACCTTAAAAAGGATTGGTTAGTATGCTAAGACGACTGCCGAACATACTGTAGGGATTCCCTTGCTCGCAGTGCACTTGCGCTTTTGAAAAATATCGGGAAACATTTCTCTATCCATAGAGAATAGCAAGCTTGTGGGGGGAGAACAATCACGAAGGCGTGTTCAACTCACCCGAAGAGAAAGCATCCCAGTGCAACGACACTGTATACGACGAGCATGGGTCCATAATGAAGAACGGTAAATAGTACAGCTAGAGTGCACAACACTTTCCAATTCATTATGCGATCAGTTGGAAGCTGCGTTCTGATGAGTTTCTAGGCTCCACTGGAGGTGATGCTACTTCGTGCACCTTCCGAATGCATCTATATAAAGGAGTACGGTATGAGAACCTGCAGAAAGTCAAAAACTGTTGCCCCGCTAGAAGGAAGTCAGAAAAAGTAGCTGCCTCCACGTGGTTTCGTATGTGAGGAATTTAACTGGTGACATGGGCTTCGATGGACCCAACAAATGTGGCCTAGTCTGAGAAGTAGTCTCTCTTGCATACAGCAAGTGTGAAACCGAATCGATTCACGTGTCCGCGCCAATGTGCATTGAAAATGCGAAGCGCTCCTGATGACCAGTTTTCTATGAAAAATTCAGTGGTTACAATCAGGTGGGGATGAGCCAGAACACTGAAAGGTTATCACAGAACTGGATTGGTCAGAATACCTAACCTGTCGTTCCACAATATGTTCGGCCGGTTACGGCACGCTTGCTCGCCATTATTGGACTGTGACCCTTGTGCGACACCGGTATACCTTGCGGGATTTATCTCTTTAACCACGAAGAGACTGGATCCTGCGGTGGTGTGGTTGTTTGTGTACCTCCAAGACCAAATAAGCTATAGTGAGGGTATCCGCGCGACATTCGCAGTCTCCCGTACCAGGCTGTTCAATGGTTAGAGGTCTGACGAACACGTGTGACGACTTGTTCCAAACATCGCTGTCTTACGGTCAGGCTTTGGGCCAAAGGTTTTGATTGAGGACCCTAATCGTCCTCCTGTCTAGGTGTGAGCATCCCGGCAGTATCTCAGCTCAGGCACAACCATGACATTTATAATTAGCAACATCCTCGTGCCAAATCGGCCGTCAAGTGATGTCATCAGCCGGGTCGCCTTACTTGCTGCAAACAGCAGGGTGGGTAAGCGAAAACAGGCTACTGCTGACGCCTCCCTTCTTGCTCTTTCACACACTTTTTCTGTTCAACCCCACACCATTAATAACTCTCTACTTACAGGCTTAGGACCGATGACTCCGTTCGTCCTGCAACGATTTCGCTAGCAGCAGATGTGCGTCATCCGGCGCCATCCTCAGACATCTGAAAATCAATCTTCAAGCCTCAACGCCAAGTCTATCTGACCGCCTTCAATGTCCGCAGTCTGAAGCAAGCATGTCACAAGCAGACCTTGCTCTCACACTGGACTCGCTTAGCATTGGTGTGCTTTGCATCAGAAACAAGAAGTCAGGATGCCAACACAGTAGTTGAGCAAATCGCCCAATCATCTTCCACCAGTTCCCGTCTGCGCAACCCTGCCGATCCACAGGCTGCTGCGGTAGGATGCGCAGGGGTTCATATTGTCCTAAGTCACCGGGCGGAAGGATCCCCCCTTGGCTGGATACCCGTTGATAGTCGTCTCTGCGCAGTTCACCTGGCAACATCTGTGAAGGAGTGTTACAAGCGGAAAGTTTATCACTGCTTGCCGTGCCCGGTTACACCCCAACTGATTGTAGCTCTAACACCATTAAAGATAAATTGTAAGACGCCTTGAATGCCCCATTGCGGCGAGCCAAAAGCTCAGATATCATTGTGGTTGCCGGAGATATAAATGCACAAATGAGCAAACTAAGAACACCTGAGGGTCGAAATGGACTGGACTCGGTAGGTACGGACAACGGTGAACAATTGCTGCAGCCGTGTACTAACCGCAGGCTTTTTATGTAGTACTAACATCCGAAACAGCCGAAGTTGTCTGGCCACATAGCGCCTTCCAACGGCGTCCAGGCATCGAACTCATATCGATTACATTGCCAACCAACAACTGACTGCCGGTCGTTTTGGAACACATTTGTGAATTATGACCAGGCACTCGTCCTAAGTCGCTTCTCCCTACGTTTACCTGGACCACCAACGTGCGGACAAGTCGCCAGGCAACTGAAAGACTGGCGGATCCGGATGTTAGACGAATTTAGAATGACCGCCTTCTAGAGTCACTTCCAAATTGTTATGTCCTCTACTGATCAGTCAATCAACCTTGTCAGTTGCACACGGAATTGAGAAGACCAATAGCCTCGAGGAAATTGTACTGCAACAACTGAACAGCCAATGTCGAGATTCAAAAGAATCAAGAATGGAATGGAACAAAACAGTCCAATGAAAGACTGAAATAGAGAGATAGAAATGCTGAGCATTGAAACATAGGTTATAGTCAACTATGTGAATATGTTTGTTAGGAGGCAGTCCTCCTAACATCTCCCCTTTGAAGTCATTGTTCGTACGACTGGAGTTATGGGTTCAGTTGCATCCGTATGACAGGCTTTCTGATCTGGTCGGTCCATCTTCTGGGTGTACAACTTATTGAGATTTCAGATTGTACTGCAGGCTTGGAAGATTCCGGGTTTTGCGGCAACTCAAATGTATCCACGAGAATCTCGAGCGGAAGATGAGAGTTATGCGAAACCGTGGAACTGTGTGTAACTGTTGTTGGGAGAGAGGGATGGCGTAGCTGACTTGCGTGACGGACGCAAATGAAGGAAGCCACGTCCACCTTTCCAACAATGCGCATAATTTTACCTTGTATCCACTTTTCTGCATCACTACGACAGTAATAAGCAAGGACAGATTGATCGGGTAGAAATATGCTAACCACAGAACCATGACCCGGTTAAACTGGGATTCCATCTTTGTGTTTCTCGCGGTTGGTGGACGCAAACTTGGACAAATGACGTCGATGGGTAGGAGGATTTTCGGTTAAATAGCACATCAGCGGGGGAGTTACCGTTTGGAGCGTTGATGTTTGGTGTCGCTCTGTAACCCAGCAGGAAGGTTTCGATTATTTCCGGTGTGGTCCCCTCCCCTTTGAGTTTGGCGAGTTCTCTTTTCAAAGTATCCACGAATCGTTCCACCTGACCATTTGATTGTGGATTGAACGGTGGTGACCTAACATGTGTGATGCTATTCTGTTCACAGAACTGTTCAAATTTGGCTGAGGTAAATGCGCTTCCATTGTCAGAGACAATAGTATTTGGCACTCCGAATCGACTGAACACATTTTGTAGTTTGGCAATAGTAGCACAAGCAGAAATATGGGTCATGTTGAATACTTCTGGCCATTTACTGTAGACGTCGATCAATATCAGATAGTGCTGTCCATTGATGGGTTCAGCGAAACCAATGTGGAGTCGCGACCATGGGGATTCTGGAGTTGGCCATAAACACAATTCTCTTGTGCGAGGGACTTTTGCGGAGAGTTGGCATTTTGAGCACTTTCGAACAGGTTCTTCCAACTGTTTATCCATGCCTGGACAGTAAATATAACTGCGGGTCAATGCTTTCATACGGTTGATACCGGGATGTCCAAAATGAAATTGTCTGAGAACGCTGTTCTGGAGTTCTGAAGGCACAACCACGCGTTCTGAAAACAGCAGACAACTATCGACCTCGGAGGGCGAAGATCGGCGTTCGTAGAACGGTTGAATCTCTTTATCTAGGCATACTAGGGGCCAGTGTGTGTGGTGAAAATGTAATACTTTTTGCAGTAATGGATCACGAAAAGTGGCGTCGCGAACCATAGCAGAAGTGACTGGTAAGGCGCGGTTCCGCTGTTCTTGATGCGATAACCGCGTGTTCGTGTTGCGGGCGCTTAGAATCCATTAGCCTTAAAGAACGATAACAGTCCGATGAGAGACTCAATCAAAAGGCGGACGTACAAATAACAAACACAATCCAATTCTGTGTTTGCTGCGTTTCAAGTTGAATTTGAATCCCGCAGGAAATACATAGCAGTTTCCATTAACAATTTCCCGATCCGTTTGCAGCTTGACACAGCTTCGGATATTACATTAATCTCACGTTCAGTTTGGGAATCAATTGGGAAACCTGTTTTGTCATCCACGAACCATCGGGCCAAAAGCGCCTCTGGCAGCACTAACTAAACTAATTGGCAAGTTGTCTTGTGATGTGTTATTCAACAATGTGCTTTTCTCAGGAACATGCTATCTCACTGATTGTCCGAAATTAAACATACTCGGACTCGATTGGATCGAGAAACTTGACCCTTATAGTGTACCCCTGACATCTGTGTGCAGTGCTTTGCAATTATCGTGCTCTTCAGATATTGTGAAATATTTCACAAACACTCACGACTAAATTCGCTGATGTTTTCAAAGAGGGCCTTGGACGCTGTGAAATGTTTCACAATATCTGAAGAGCACGATAATTGCAAAGCACTGCACACAGATGTCAGGGGTACACTGGTCAAGTCAAGTTTCTCGATCCAATCGAGTCCGAGTATGTTTAATTTCGGACAATCAGTGAGATAGCATGTTCCTGAGAAAAGCATTGAATAACAAATTCAACTTGAAACGCAGCAAACACAGAATTGGATTGTGTTTGTTATTCGTCCGTCCGCTTTTTGATTGAGTCTCTCATCGGATTGTTATCGTTCTTTGGGGTTAGTGGTGATTTGGTATTATGCGTACGGCACCTCCTTTAATTGGATTGTGTTTGTTATTTGTACGTCCGCTTTTTGATTGAGTCTCTCATCGGATTGTTATCGTTCTTTGGGGTTAGTGGTGATTTGGTATTATGCGTACGGCAAAAGCCTCCTTTAAGGCCCAACGATGGCCATGTTTGACACTGACGTTTCTTGAATGGACAAAAACGTGCATAATGCCATTCACCACATGACCAACACGATGTTGGTGGCTTTTTCACAGGAGTGACGGTGGTTCGCTTCAATATCATGACGCTGCTGGAAGTGGGAGATCGCGACTCTTGCTGTACTATTGCGGTATCATGTTTGAGATTGCGCGAGCGCTGGCATTCTGTGGTGGGGTCTTTCAGAGTAACGTCTTTTTCGTGCTCAAGTATGGATAGCAATCGTGTGCGAATATCTGACTCCTGAGAAGATTGAAGTCCAGCGGCAAAAATGAGGCATCTAAACTGATCTTCTGTAAGCGATTACAATCGGGATTTCTCACATTCGCGATTAACGAAACCGGCAAAAGTAACGTAGTCGTCGGCATCACGCTTGGCCAACTTAAGACATTTGTATCGGACATTAAAAAGTGAATGTTGATGAATGTTGGAGATTGATGCCTTGAGTGAGAAACTGGATAAGTCGCAACTGCGATTGTTCAAACTGCGCTCATTGTTGTTGAAGGACTGATTTCAAATCCTCAGCTGAAATTGAGATTCTTGGGTTCGTAAAGAGTTCCCGCCGCCAGTGTTATGTCCTCTACTGACCAGTCAATCAACCTTGTCAATTACACACGGAATTGAGGAGACAAATAGCCTTGAGGAAATTGTACCGCAACAACTGAACAGCCAATATCGATATTCAAAAGAATCAGGAATGGAATGGAACAAAACAGTCCAGTGAAAGGCTGAAATAGAGAGAGAAATCTTGACCATTGAAACATAGGTTATAGTCAACAATGTTTGTAAGGAGGCAGTCCTCCTAACGCAAATACTCCACCATCAGGTGTGAACTCATACTGGGACCAGATCGCCACCTGTTTGCATAGTGCTGGGAATTCGCCTGTGGCACGACACCACCAGGCGCACTCAAGCATTGGATATCAGACCGAACGGTGGCATTGCATAAATCCCGGACACATATTCCAGCCGGTCCAGAACCTAACTGGACGCAACGAATTATCAGACGTCAAAAGAAAGTGGGCGTGCGAACCGACCGTGAATTGTGGTGGATACAGATGTCAAAGAAATGGAAGAGGCCCAGAACGCCGGTGATGCCCGGAGAGTATTTCAGTTGATCTGTGCGACCGGCCCTCGGAAACATCCTGTGAGCGAAACCATGAAGAATCCGAAGGGAGCGATTACCTTGAATAGGGAACGGCTCGACCGGTGGGCCGAATACTTCGAACAACAGTTATCGTGGCCACCAGCTGCCACTCATCTGGAGCCCACAGCTGACGTGGTACCCTAGAAGGTGAACGTGGAACATCCTACGGACTCGGAGGTTCATGGCAGCACATGTTCTCTTAAGCACTACCGAGCTTTTGGTCCGGACGACCTTCCACCCGAATTGTTCAAAGAGAGAGGCGGAGTACTCAGTCAGCGCTTGTCGCACTTGCATGCGTCTGTCCGATCTGTTTGTCTTGAGTTTGGAAAGGGGACCGTCCCCAAGAAAACTGGGGGAAGTCCGTGACAGTGCGAGATAGCGTGAATTTACTGACCGGAAGGTCTGTGGTTAGAATCCGACCTCTGCCTCTCGACTTCCCCTGTCTAGGCTTAGGCAACCTGGCAGTATCCCAGCCCTCGTGCCTGCTTCGCACGGAATGGCAACTAGACACCCAAAGGGTGTTACAGCTGAACTATTATTATTTGTCACTGTTAGTGTGATTTTCACAAGAGGCTCGTAATCGTTGGCCTGTTCGGTGAGTTGCGCAACTTGAGTGCAAAAGTTCCATCACGCATC